GTTGTTGCCCTCCTACGGCCTCCTCCACATCTCCTGATGTACTGGCCTGTCTCCTGGTAGCGCCTCCATGCTCTGGACACTACGCTGACAGACACAGCAAACCTTCTTGCCACAGCTCGCATTGATGTGCCATCCTGGATGAGCTGCACTACCTGAGCCACTTGTGTGGGTTGTAGACTCCGTCTCATGCTACCACTAGAGTGAAAGCACCGCCAGCATTCAAAAGTGACCAAACCATCAGCCAGAAAGCATAGGAACTGAGAAGTGGTCTGTGGTCACCACCTGCAGAACCACTCCTTTATTTGGGATGTCTTGCTAACTGCCTATGCTTTCCACCTGTTGTCTATTCCATTTGCACAACAGCATGTGGAATTGATTGTCAATCAGTGTTGCTACCTAAGTGGACAGTTTGATTTCACAGAAGTGTGATTGACTTGGAGTTACATTGTGTTGTTTAAGTGTTCCCTTTATTTTTTTGAACAGTGTATAAACAAATACAATGGTTATATTTACCAGTTATTGCACTTGGGTTGTTTGGTCTTATTGTTATACAGACATGGATTAGCTGTTTACAAAAGTGATGGAACAGGAAAAGAAACTGTGCATACAGTGTTCTCTTGTGCCATCCATAAAAAATGTCCAAAGTTTCAACCATATGTGTCCAGTGTGTGAGGAGTCTGCATTATTATTATTATTATTACATGGTGTGATTAGTTGAAATGTATGCAATGAAATGTCCTAATTACATTTAAACTACCTATTCCCCGTACGTCACACCACAGCATCCTCCTCAGCAGGCTGCAGTGGCCTTGTCAGCTTCCCTCGTTCTTCGGTTCCCAGAGGACTCCTCCAGCCTTTCCTACGACTCACCTGCCACCACCCTTTCTGCTTTATCCTGCCTTTCATTCCGTTACTTCATTTTTGATTCCCTGGGCACCAGGCTGCCTCCTTCTGTTTTGGGTTCTCTTCCTCCTTCTTCTTCCCGACACTTTTCTTGTCTCTCTCCTCTATCAACTCACCCCAACCGGTCAAGGCAGAAGGCCGCCCATCAAGAGCCCATCATTAAGCTTCAATCACATTATGTTTTGGGTCTTTAAATGGACCTACAGTACATGTAGAGTTCCTGTCTTATACAAAATACATTACGACCTCACATTACATTACCATCTTTTAACTCAATGACAAATATTACCATTTTGTCTGAAGCTTGTCGATACATTGTGAAGTCTGTATTAGCAATGAGAGATTCTTCGACTAACGCTAGAATGTTTAATATAAACATCCACTGTGTATTAGAAGAAACCATTCTTCCACACTGCGTGTTGCTACTTTCTTAAAGTCATCAAGGCTAATTTAGATAAAGGTGGAGAATTTGAATCTCTCTAACAAAATGTGAAACTGTCAGACCTCATCCAGTATGTACAGGTAAATAATGTATTGTCTTCAACATAAGCCTGTAAAATGGGTATCCCACAAAGATCTATAAGGGCTGGTGTTATTTGGTTGTACACCTCTTTAAACAATGATGTAGTAATCCTGATGTATGCAGATGATATAGTTTACAAAGCAGTGGGAGAGATGCTGTGGCTACTAAACCATCACATACTGTGGAAAAACCTGCTAATTGGCCTTACTCAAAATATCTGCCAATGAATATTGAAAATTCAGTAAAAATGTATTTCTTAAACAAGATTCTTCCAAATATCCATGTAAATGGCCAAACTATTAAATGCATAGATGAAATTAAATATTTAGGTGTTATATAGGACCCTACGCTTAACTTAACAAAAAGCACATTAAGAAGATGGGAAATACACTGAAATATAATTTTGCCATCTTCAATTATATCTGAAATTCATTTAATGTTGAGGCATCAAGGGTGTATATTAGCCCAATGATAGGACCTCATTTTATATAATGCTAGTTTCAGGCCAGTAATACTGATTTAAAACCAGTTTGATCACTTTATAATCAAGTTTTAAAAACCCTGGACAGGAAATCACAACAGTATCATCGCTGTCAAATAATAAATAAATATATATGTTGAATATCAAGAACTTAATGCTGTGCTCTGATGCTCGTCTGGTATTCAAAATGAACCATAATATTGTGCCTCCACCATGGAAAATGTTTGTACAGCTCTGCTCTGAACAGATGACCAGAGCCTTAAGGTCAGCTGTTAGTAGTGAGTGTAGAATCCTGAAAAGAAGTTCTGTTCTTGTGCAATCTGTGTTTTCATTTAAGGCCATTAAGGAATGGAACAATCTCCCTGTTGCTCTCAAAACATGTGTAGATTTTCATATTTTTTCTCATCAAGCCAAACAATGAATTTTAAGAAACCAGATCTGTAAAAATGAATTCAACACAATGTACTTATATGGGTCTGTATCTGACTGTCTTCATAAAAAATGAAGACAAGTGGGATTACTTGAGTGCAGTATTTTGGTATAATTAATGAATATTTTTACTATGGGTTATATGATTTCACTTTAGTATTTAGCAGTTCAATTTGTATTATGTGGTTGTACTTGTCTTTTTATTGACTATTGTGTATTATGTATTGTGTGTACCTTCCCAGGGATTAAATTTAACATTTAATATTATTTACATGGTAGGCCACAAGGTAATACTGTGTAGTGAATGCACACGTTACAAACCTTACCTTGATCCCTGAGAGAAGGAGCTATATTCTTACTGCTGAATTAGCCCATCCCTCTTTAACTAATTGAATTAATCTTGGGGCTTTAATTAGAATGATCAGATGGTCAAAACCAGGAGAGGCTGTCAGAGCAGGGACTTGGCTTAACTCCCATAGTTCCACTTAGGTACAGTGAAATCACATTAAAATACCAATAATTCTGTAGATTCATGGACAGTATGCTGTTGGCACTGTTTGTCTCCTATGTTGCTGTTAACATTCTGCTAATGTTGCAGCAAAGAGGAAAGATGGAGCACGAAGAGCTTCTTACTTATTGCATATTACATAAAAAATCTGGATGAATTGGCTATTGTTTATACCAAGCAACACACACACATGGCCTTTTGTGCCGGATGCTCCTTGTGGTGACTGGCCTACTGTACATGTGGTCATAATCCTACTGTACACTACATCTGCTCTGTTATCTTCCACTGTTTATTAGCAGACAATAAAGCCACTAGACCACTGAGAGCATTTCATTACTGACGTAAAAACACAGTCTGTTGCATTCGCATAAAGTCTTACAAATATATAGCCTCCCAGTAGTTTATAATACAGTTAACCGACTTCCTTATAGCCACAAAAGACCATGTGAGGCGATGCTTCGTCCTCCTCAAGCACAGTTGCACACACTGATCTCAGTATGGAAGGGAAACCACAGCGCAGCACAGAACAGAGAGGAACCCCACAACTTTCCATCCTTCACCCAGTGTCACATACTAAGCCCACACAACGTAAACAGTTTTATAACAGTTTAAATATAGTCTATAGGCTTCCATTGGGGGACGACGAAGCGGGGACATCTTGTTTGTTGCACAGCATTAATCAAATGACAAGTGAACACAGCTGCGCGTCTCCAGACCCTTATTCTAATTACCGGAGTGACGTCACTTCGACTATAGAATAGCCTATAATACCAATATAGTATCTGAAAGCAGCGCCCGCACTGGAAGCAGCTAATCGCAATCTCTGTATTAATCAATTAACCACACCTCAGCATCAAAGCTGAACATGAGGCCTAAACAACACAGTGTACATTTTAATACAGCCTACACCCAAAACATATAGCCAAAAGCATTCCGCCTTACCGTAGAAGGCATTTCGAGTTATCTGTCCACCCATTGCTTTATTTCTTTACAGTCCGATTATCGTCTGAATGGATTATTCAGATGTTCTCGCTGCACAGTCCAACGCTCGTGACATGATTGCGCGTTCGCGTCCAAGGGTAGCCTTTGGCTTCACTGCTTCGAGTAGATGCAAACACTTGAAAGACAGACACACACCTCTGTTTTGTGAGCGCAAGGACACATCCGTGAAGGCAACTCCCCCCCATTCACTGAGCGCCCTCTCCGCCTCGGGTCCCACTCACTCACACTGCAATTTACATAAAGGGTGGAGACTGGCTGAGCGCTTTTAACGCTGTCACTGCTGCACCACAGTGGGAAGTAAATAAACTATCAGCCTATAATTGTATTTATTTATTCTCTTAGGCCAGTGCCAATTAAATACACAGTTTGTACTGCAACACAGCATATTTGCATATACACCTTTATTGTTAAAAAATAAATAAATAAAATATGTGGTATGGATCCAGAGAGTAAGTGGTCACATTCTTTACTCTCAGCACTCACTCTTTCACCTTCCATACTTCCTTACACCTCACGGCCCTGGCAGACAGAATGGATGACCCCTCAATTGTCAGACCTCTGACTTGAGCTGTCATCATGTATCCATGGTGACCTCACCCCTCAGTCAAGCTGCAGACTCTTGTCTAATGGCACTAGAGTATGAAGGACAGGGTGTGGTAAAAAATATATACAGTCATGGCCAAAAATAATGGCACCCCTGCATTTATGTATCTAGCATCAACACAACCACATTTTACTCTCATCTTTCTGATATGCTTCTGGTAAACTAATAAACCTGATCTCCTCTGATTAGGCTAGGGTATCATTTAAAATTGTTTGTATGTATAAAATGACAAACAATTACTCTTCAGCATTTAAATTTGATAAATAATTTTCATTCTTCATTTAGCTAAGTTTTCACACCTACAGACTGGCTATAGGGGAAACTGGGGAGGGATGTAACACTGCCAGTCTGACCAGTCAGAAAAGAGCTGTGGTGATGATATCACTATCAAAATGTCCCATTTTCTTTCTGAGCTGACAATAGAAGTCACGTCTTTGTGAGCAACACGGTGAATTTTATGAACAACAACTGATTTTTAGATAAAAAAAGTTAAATTTCTTATCAAGATTATTTCATTGTGTTGTAGACACAATGGCTTTACTTATATAACCGAAAGCAGCAGTTTCTCTAGTTTAATTTGATACTTGACATTAATGCTAACGTCAAAACCACATGCTAAAACTGTTAGCTATGTAATGGCTGTTTGGGATAGGGATGTTTGTAACAGTGCATCTATATATGACCATCTCCATATTCTCTGAAGCCCAGAGTCTGACACCTCTGATGACGAGAATCTCTGCATTGTGTGCATGAACACCTCACAAACTCAAGGCCAAAAGAAGTGTAGGTCATATCAGTGCTTTGTCAGTCAGGGCTCATAAACCCTGCACCCCAAAGGCAGCCCTCTACATTTGCCACATCTGTGACAGTAAACCTTTATGTGACACATGCACATTTTGAATGACAGACCAACACCCCCACCCCCCACCCCCCACACACACAAGCATTGTATTTGTCACTTTGCAAGTCTTTACACTGACTTAGATTAAGTTCCTAGAGACTTACCCTAACCCTTCCCCCAACTGCAACATGCCTAACCTAACCTAAAGTCTTTCTGTCCTTTTATTCACTCACTTTATTCAAAACTAATCATTCTTTATTATTCAATACATTTCTTGCATAAACTAGATTGTGTGAATGTAACATCTGAACTTTAGATTTGATTTTAACTCACATAGTCTGTGACTGAGTACCAGTAGTTGTCGTCCAAGTGAGTTTTATTTATAGGAGACAAATATGGGTACCATGTATCAAAGTTTGAGAGATCTAGCACAAACAGCCTTGAGTTACTGATGTTCAAACAAAAGGTGTTGCAATCATCCCCAGTGTCCCCTAAAGATACATGATGAATCATCACTTCCCTCCACTATGCAAAAGTGGAGCCAAAATAATGTGAATATGAGAGTGGCCATCTCACTTTTGCGACACATTTTGCTACCAGATTCTGTGCAATAGTGATGACAGGTGAAGCCTCGTATCAAGCCACCAGTCAAAGCTGTCAGTCATCCAAAATACATCCCTTTTTATATCATCAAATAAATGATTAAAAATAAACTTAACAGAAAAAATGTACACAAATCAATCACCTTGTGGTGGCATCACTTCTGGGAGCTGTCACGTTGTCCATCTTTATATACAGTCAACGTTTACACCAGAAAATTGCGTGGATTAGCTTCTTTTGCTATGTTATGTATTTGTCGTAGTTTGTCCATCCATCCCTTATCTATACTGTTAATCCTGAACAGGGTTGTAGCAGTTTGTTACCAAGTAAAATCAGATACAAACTGTAAAGATCCCAATCAGCTATATTAGTGTTACATTGTCACTGCCAGTGGAAACACATTTGCAGCTGTTCAGCCAAAATGTTTGTGATATATCTTTAGTTCTTCTCACCAAGATACAGTCAGAGCCAACAATTCCTGAAATCTCCAACTCATAATTAAGTCAGAGACTAATGTGAACATAGCTGCTCATAATTGATATAATATGGTCATGGCAAAAGAAAGGGGGAAAACACCAAGTCAAGCTCTGTCCCGCAGCTGTCCTACCTGAAGGAGTAAAGGTACTCATTAAAGAAAATAACACAATTTAGAATATTACATTAATTTGTATGCAGCATTTTACACTTGTACAGTAGGTGGTGGTGGTGGAGCTTATTTTAATCATAGCTGTTGGGTTGTTATGTTTACAAGTAAAAGCTTAATCTCCAAAGCACAGTAACCAATAACTCTGGTCATCAGATAAATATAATGGAGTAACAAGTACACTAATTCCTTATGAATTGTAAATTACATGTACCAAAAACTGCATTTAAGTATAGTGCCTGAGTAAATGTTTCATAGATATTTTCATAAATAGTTTCATTTCACCACTATTCATTTAACAAATTATTTGTCACATGTTGTAAATAAATATTGTACAGTATATAGAAACATTGTATTTTGGTTTTAATAAGAAAAGAAGATCATTCTTGTTGTTACAGGTCATTCCCAATATGATGAAATTACACAGCTACCATCTTTTTGTGAAAAGAGCAGACAAATGAGTGTAAAAAAACTGACTGCATAATACTCTACATCCATGTTTATGTTTAAGGCATTAAATCCTGCAGGTAAAAATATTTACATGTCCCCATTTTCCCATCACTTTTAATGATTTCCACCATGTAACCATAACAAATACTCAAACCTATTTGGGATGGTGATCAAAAAGAAATCAGGACCACAACCTCAAGATTTAATCTGCTGAATGAGATATTGTAGACACACACATGGTGTGCACATTTGAGATGAAGACAGTTGGTGGAAAGTGCTCATAGTGCAATGAGATTCTAGCCACATTTGGTTTCATGTATCACCTCTGCAAATTGTAAAAATGTGAATGAAGGATTTGATTTAGGCCAGTGTAAGATTACTTTCAAGGCATGGCAAATAATTGAGAATGAAATTAGCTTCCTGACTACATTCATCAGTACTGAAAAGTGGGTTCAGTTCAACACAAACCAACAAAAGGAATCTATTTTATTCTAATAAATTCGATTAAGGATGATAGCAAAGAATAAGTTCAGATCTAGAGATTAATTCTTCAGTTGACTGTTATATCTGTCTATAAGGATAACATCATCATACTAAGGTATAACAGCTTATTGCCATGGAAGGGACACGGCTGTAAGAAGAGTAATGACTGGACACTGGCCAGACAAGACTCAGGAAGAAACATCAGACCAGTAGCAGCGTAGCCTTGTCATGTAACCTTGTAGATACACAGTAGAGGAAGACCTTAAGTAAAGTACACTTCCTTGCCTGGATTAATGTTGGAGTTCTACGTGAATGCATTGCTAGAACATCCTTCCTTTGTGCAGTACTTTTTACTTCCTGTTGTAATCATGCAGCCACCACTCTGTTGGCCTTAATCTTTAAACAAGAAAATCTCTTCTGGCTCACAGTTCACTCTGCAACATAACTGAAGTTCATCTCTGAGTCTGTACATAAAATTGCTTTATATAATTTACCGAGATAATGTGGTGCAGCTCATGGTTCACTGCAGTTCAGCTGGTATCTGAAGGGACTCTGCATAGCTGATATACTGCCTTTCAGACAGATTCCATGTTTTATGTCAATCCCATTCTTATTTTCTTAGCTGAAGTTGACACCCCTGGCTAAACATACAGTATCATCAACGCAAGTTATTCTGCTCTGTTCTCTTTAAGTTTGTATTTAGGCTGCAGATAAGGTATTTGGGTGAATACAATATATTAATGGGGTTTTATTACAGCACACAGTGTTTTTTTAATATAGGACTCTCAAGACTGGTGTCACTGGAAAATGACAACACTAGCCACACAATATATTTGCATTTCCCTGATAAGTGACTTATCGTGTCTGTAAATAACAGGATGTTTTTGTCTAATAAAGGTGGCGCGTTGACTTCATGACAGGTCCATCATGTCCACTGCAATATTTCAAAAGTGTTCTTGTTGTATTCTTCTTGAAAGAATATAACAAGCCAACTTATTTATTTGTGTTACAAGCATAAATATATATACTGTATATGCTCACTCATTTAGATGTGGTAACAGTTACTTTGTGGCTGTATTTGGTATTGAAAACCTTTCTCATTTGTTATCAGAAGTGTTATAAAACATGATTCAGGAATTTTGTGGAATGAACTGTACCAGAGTCAAATTCTTCGTGTGTCCGACGCGCCTGGCCAATAAAGCAGATTCTGATTCTGCTTTTATTTTTCTGGGAGATTTTAATCACTGCAATCTCAGGAAAAGCACCTATCTAAAATGTATCAGTTTGTGACTTTTCCCACTAGAAGAAACAAAATACTGGACCACTGTTACAGTACCATTAGAAACGCTTTCTCAGCAGAACCTAAGCCTCATTTTGGTAGATCTGACTACCTAGCAGTCCGGCTCAAACCTGTTTACACCAAATGGCTCGGTACAAGCTACAAAAGTCCATCAGAGCTGCAAAGAGGGCATACCTCCAAAACTGGAAAGCTATTACCTGAAAAACAACATGCACAGCATGTGGCAGGGAATCCAGGCAGTCACAAACCACAGAAATAAATCAACAATCACAGTCTCCCCTGACGTCACCCTCCCA